TTTTTCATTTATGGAGATCCAAGGGGGAGAGAAGAGGAGCAGAGGAGTGAGAATGTGCGAAGTGGGGGCACAATGATAGGGTCACACAATTCGATGGGTAGAGAGAGGGGTGGGGAAAGGAAATGGGAAAGATGCAGTGTGAAAAATAACGTACACAAGCTTTGTAAGTAAGAAATTATAAAATAAAAATTTCATTTAAAATTTAAAAAACCCCACTTCTTTGATCTTCCTGATCAGCTTTCACGTGGAGGTGAAGTAATTGAACATAGTTGGGTCAGGTGCACCTTATTCTTGAACTTGACATTCTTATTCTCTAGCATGTTAAGGAGGCCCAGGACAGCCAATTTACCCATTGCAATGTATGTATTGACATTAGACTCCATTTTTAGCCAACAGCTGTTCCCCTGTCATGTTTTATGTGCCTTCCAGCTTGACGAGCTTACCTTCTGGCACTGTATCAGACAACAGTCTGCTGCTACTCACAAAGTTTCCAATGACCCATTATTTCCAAAGCAGATGGCCAGGCCTGCTTCCTACTCTACTTTGGATGCTGTGCTGACAACTGTCCACTGTGGGTCATTCTTTTAGTATTTCATGTATCAATAGCATAGCTTCCAATATCGCAGCAACACACAGCCTCCAAAATGCAAGAAGCTGAATGAACAAGAGCTGGAATTTTCATCTTACAAGATATGAAAGGAAAGAGAACTGAGCACGGAGGGAGGGAGATACTTGATACTATTAATGAAGAAAAGTTAAGAGTGTCTTGGGACTAAAAGATCCCTGTTCTGAGAATATTCTTGAACCAGGGGAAGGATGATCCCAAGATTAATAAAGATCATCAAGGACTGTCAGGCCCACAGATTCTTAAAGGTTGTAAGGTCTCTCCTCCTAATCTGTGAGTCTCAGAGAGAAAAGACTCTCCTTAGAAACAGCAACCTCCACTCAAGATTCCCAGTCCCTGAAACTGTAGACATTGAGAAGACATTTGTTGTCCAAATAATCTCCTGGTGTTATTTCTGTGATATCAGCATTAGATAACTAAAACATGCAGGAGACAATAGTCTGTTTGGGCAGAGATCAAACAAATAATACTTTTCTCACAACTAAGAAAATGTCCTGCTGCTGGATTGATGGGCTCATAGACACCATAGAGGATAAAGTAGTTCTGCCAGATAAGATTTCCCAGGCTACAATCTCTGTGGTGATCTGTCAGTTTAGACAGTTTATCACATCAAGGTGGCTAGTACTTTGTTTTATTGCTGGAAGTTATGCCACCACTATTTCAAAGAGCTCATCCACGGTGGATGAATTTCAGAGGAAAAGAGCTTACCAGCCCTTTATTTACTATGCAAAGATGTTCAACTCTGTGTATCATAACACCTTAGGGATCACACCGTGAAGACTAGGAATCTCAGAATCTCAGAATACCTAATTTTGTTCATGGAGAACCTGTATTTAGATGAAGTGCCAGCCCTTTGAACAGAACAAGAGGGATACTGTGTAACTTAAAATCTGGAAAAGGTGTCAGGGCTTTGTCCTTTCAGTATACTTGTACAATCTGTTTGTTGTTGTTCGGTGCTGTCAAGCTGAACTGTCTCACAGCTGACTTTCCAGCAGTTTTTCAGTTTTTCCAAGGATATCATCGATGAAGAAAGTAAAAGGTCATTAAAAAAATGGAAGAGAGATTACCTGCGGAGGCCGTGGCTGGACACCGAGAGTTGTGGCATTTAGGGGCCAGTATGCCAACTGCCAAGCAGCTAGCCGACATTGGCTACAAGACCTTCTCCACCTCCATGATATTACTTACTGTGTATGGGGGATACCTCTGCAGTGCCCGAGCCTACCAATATTTTCAATGGCGCAGCTTGCGGCACCAGGATGCAGAAGAGCAGAAGACTTCAGGAGTCCTGTAGAAACACAGAGAAGCCTGAGGCAAGCTACGGAAGGACCTTACCTTCAATCATTTCTGGGTCAGGATTTCCTGGGCCTTGATGATTTTCAAACTCTACTAGAAGAAAATGTTGATGTTTTCCCTGGTATTGACAATTAGAGGGGACTTTTGAGTCACAACAGGAATGGGGGACAGAGGTGTACCTGCAGAAAATAAATATTTTATTATGTCTGGGTCTTAAAAAAAATGGAAGAGAAAAAAAACCCTTAAATGAATGTCAGAAAAGAGTCTAAAGATTGCACTGGAGCAGCCAGAAACCAAAACAAAAGGAAAACAGGTCGAAGTAAAAGAGCTGAAGAGACGATCTCAAAGAACAGCTTGTGAGGACAAAGCAAAGTTAGAATTATTAGAACAGAATATCTAGAGAGCTGTAATTGTAGAATAAAAAGGGAAAACTCGCTCTGCATTTCTCAAGTTGAAAGAACTGAAAACCAAATTTAAATCTCATGTTGCAATATTGAAAGATGTTATGGGCAATAAATTGAATGACCTAGAAAACATAAAAAGGAGATGGAGGGAATACACAGAGTCACTGTCCCAGAAAGAATTTTTTGACACTGAAAAATTTCAGAAAGTACCATATGAACAGGAGCCAATGGTAATAAAGGAGGACGTAGAAGAAGCTGCATTGAAGGTATTGGCAAAAAATAAGGCCCCAGGAATCGATTTGATACCAATTGACATGTTTCATTAACAGGTGCAGCCTTGGATGTGCTCACCAGTTTATGCCAGGAAATCTGGAGGACTGGAAGAGGTCCATATTCCCAAGAAAAGTGAGCCAACTGAATGTGGAAATTATCAAGCAATATCATTAATATTACATACAAGGAAAATATTGCTGAAGACCATTAAAAAATGGCTAGAACAGTACATAGTAGGGAACTGCCAGAAATTCAAGCAGGATTTAGAAGAAGCAGTGGCACAGGGATATCATTGTTGATGTTAGATGGATCCTGGCTGAAAGTCAAGAATATCAGAAGAATGCCTATCTATGTTTTATTGACTGTGCAAAGGCATTTGACTGTGTGGATCATAACAAGTTATGGCTGACATTGAGAAGAATGGGAATCCCAGAACATTAAATTATCATGTGAAACCTATACCTGGACTAGGAGGAGGCCGTTGTGGGAACAGAGCAGGGGAACACGGTATGGTTTAAAATTGAGAAGGAAGTGCATCAGGGTTGTATTCTCCCTTCATACTTATTTAATAGGTAAGCTGGGCAAATTATATGAGAAGCTGGACTCTATAAGAGGAGTGTGGCATGAGGACTGTAGGGAGACTTCTCAATAACCTGCATTATACAGATGACAACCTTGCCTGCTGAACGTGAGGAGGACTTGCAGCACTTCAAGCAGAAGTTCAAGGGATGCAGCTTTCAGTATGGATTGCATCTCAATATCAAGAAAACAATGATTTTTACCCCTAGACCAGTTGACAGTGTCATGATGGATGGACAAGAGATTGAAATTGTCATCTTGCTTGGATTCACGATCAATATCCTTGGTACCAGCAGTCAGGAGATAAGGCGACACATTGTACTGGGGAAATCTGCAGCTAGGGACCTTTCCAAAGTATTGAGGAGTAATGATGTCAGTTTGAGGATTAAGGTGTGCTTGATTCAGGCCATAATCTTACTTGTTATGTATCTGAGAGCTAGACAATGAATAAGGGTGACAGAAAAAGAATTGATGCCTCTGAGCTGTGGTGTTGGAGAAGAGCACTCAAGATCCCATAGACAGCCAAAAGAACGAGCAGATATGTCTTGGAGATGGTATCGCCACAGTGTTCTTTGGAGGCAGGAATGATGAGGCTTTGCCTCACATGTTGTTGTTGTTGTTATGTGCCGTCGAGTCGCCTGCGACTCATAGCGACCCTATGTACAACAGCCCTAAACTCCGCTCTGTCCTGTGCCAATTGCACTGTCTCTGACACTCCCATCCCGATTATCCCAGTCACTGAATCAGTCCACCTCATAGAGGGTCTTCCCCTCCTGCGCTGTCCCTCCACCCTACTTTGGGCAAATTTCTAGGAGGCGCTATTCCTTGGAGAAGAACATGATGCAGGGAAGGGTGGATGATCGGTGAAGGAGAGGAAGACCCTCAACCAGGTGGACTGACACGGTGACTGCTGCAATGGGCTCATGTGTGTCAGGAAGTGTGAGGATGGCGCAGGATAGGACAGGGTCCAGGTCTTTTGTTCACAGAGTCACTATGAGTCATACTCGACTCGACTTGCACCTAACAACCCAACAACACCACTACTAAGCCACCAGAGCGTCCACACAGTCTATACTGGTGAGCGTGTCCCGGGCTGCATCTATTAGTTGAAACATGGCCATTGGCATCCTATCAATTTCTGGGGCCTTATTTTTTTTGCCAATGTCTTTAGTGCAACTTGGACTTTCCCCTTCCTTGCTGTTGGCTCTTGATCATACAGTACTTCATGAAATATTTTAGTGTTAGCCAATTACTTTTGGTACAATCAGTTATTTCGTGTGTTCTCTCCATCTTCTTTTGACATTTCCTGAATAAGTAAAAATTTTGCACATTGTATCTCTCAATATTACAACTCAAGGTGTGATTTGACTTATTCTTTTTTTGTTGTGATTTTAATGAAAGTTTACAGAAAATTTGGATTTTCATTCATTCATTCATTCATTGCGGCACATTTCTCTCCTTACCTCCTTAGTTCACTTTTTAGGTTGTTTTTTTTTTTAAGTAAAATTTTAATTGTGGTTTCAGCAAATGTTTATAGATGAGTTAGATTTTTTTTCTTTTATTGGGAAAAACATCTTGGGGGTACAAAGAGGTGAGGGTTGGGGGCAGAAGGGTGAGGATGGGCCAGGATGCAGTTGCAGAGCTGCACAGCTTGGTCGGTGGGGGGAGCAGGTGAAGGAAATGATGAGGGTCCAGTGGGGACCAGATACTACGGAGGAATGACAAGCATTTTCCAATGGTAATTTAAAATGAGTTAGATTTTCATTCACTCTTGTTGCACATTTTACCCCCTCTCCCTCCCTTCTACCTTCTTCAGTTCATGAAAAATTGTTCTAAATCCCTATCTTTCTGATAATAAAAGATCTTGATAAGAGAGGCAAATAACAACTATGAGACAGTATCTCTCCCCATTAACAATAGCAAAGTTCAACAAAGCAGCAAACCACAAATGCTGGTGAGGTAGTGTAGAGATTGGAACCCTTATTCACTGCTGGTGGGTGTATAAAATGGTGCAACCACTATGGAAGGCAGTTTGGCACTTTCTAAAAAATTTGGAAATAGAAATACCATTTGACCAAGTAATTCCACTACTAGGCCTATACTCTAAAGAAACTGGAACTGCCACCCAAACAAATACATGCACACCCATGCTTACTGCTGCATTATTTACAATAGCAAAGAGATGGAAGCAATCCAAGTGCCAATCAGTAAACAAATGGATAGAAAAACTATGGTATATTCATACAACCAAATACTACACAGCACTGAAAAACAATGAACTTGTAAAACATTTCTCAACAAGGGGAATCCTAGAGGAGATAATGTTAAGTGAAATATCTCAGTTACAAAAAAAAAAAAGCAAACAAAAACCCAACACCCCAAAACACCAAATACTGCATAACTACTGTTATAAAGCAGTTCTGACATAGGGAGTTGCGAGGAGAATAGGATAAGGTGGATAGTGAATGACCATTGCACTGGAACAGTTCACCTTTTTTTTTTTAAATTACATTCATTGTAGCATAATTTCCTCCCTTCTCCTCCTTTCTTCAGTCCTCTTTGTTATGCACCTCTTATTCTGGACTATTGTCATACAATGCTTAATCGTATTTCTTTTAAACAGTTCTTTCCTTCATTTTGTCCAATGCAGTGTTTATTATTTATTCCTTCTTTTCTTAGTTTCTCCCAGCCCCCATGCCAGTCCTGTTTTATAACAGTGGTGTTATACAGTATTTGTCCTTTTGTGACTGAGGTATTTCACTCCAGGGTCACCCATGTTATGTAATATTTTATGAGTTCCTTGTATTTCAAGGCTGTGTAGCATTCCATGGTGTGATTATACCATAGTTTTCTTATCCATTAATTTGTTGATTTGGTCTTTTTAGTTCTTTTAGCTTGAAAAATGCCAAGCAAGTTCTTCCATCTTAATTCTCCAACTCCAGTTCTTTGCACATTCCATGATAGTACTTTGCTCTGTCTTTTTTTTTTAAGCTGATTAAGTTCATTGTGTCTTCGAGACACTACAACACAGACTCGGACTCCTCTCTCCCAGAAACACATCTTTCAAAGACAGGAAACCATCATTAAGGTGAGTTGCTCACTTGTAATTTTCATTGCTTTGTCTTCTTTAATTGCCTCTTGAAATCTTCTGTTTGTCTCTTTTATAATGTGTTTGTCCCCTTTGTTTTGGATTCTCGACACTCTCGTGCAGTTTTCAGAGTCTCTTCTGACATCCATTTTGATCTTTTTTTTTCCTCTTCTGTCTTTATAACCACCTTTTACTGTCTTCATGGATGATACTTTTTATGTCATCCCATAACTCATCTCCATACCTATTCAATCTGTGCTCTGATCAAATGATTTGTAAAGCTGGGCTCTGTGAAAAAGAATGTGGCATCAAGATTAAAGAAATACTCATCAATCTGCATTATGCAGATAACACAACCTTGCTTGCTGAAAGTGAGAAGAACTTCAAACGCTTCCTGCAAAAGATCTAAGACTACAGCCTTCATTATTAATTACATCTCAACACCAAGAAGACGAAAGTTATCACCATGGGACCAGTAAGCAATATTATAACTAAAAAAAGATTGACATTGTTAACTATTTCATCTTACTTTGGTCCGCAGTCTGGGTACCAGCAGTGAAGAGATCAGGAGGCATATTGCATTGGGAAAGTTTGCTGCCAGAGAGTTCTCCAAATTACTGAAGAGTAATGATGCCAGTATGAGGATTAAGATAC